ACACACACACACACACACACACATACATAATACTGTGAAAATGACTTATATATGTGAAATGTTTAACAGTGTATTTTCTTTCACACAAAACTACCATGAAAGGTCTTGCCAAAAACAGAAATGTGTGGTTTCCATGAATGTGCAAATGAGTACGGTTTGACTACAGTATTTCATTTTTAGAAATGAACTGTATGCTTTTCTTCTAGAATATTAGAGGTTTGAGTTTGTAAATTCAAATGTTATACTTGCTCCATTCTTTTCCATACTTATCTAGACTTGAAAAACACTCTAAAATAACCAAATGATTCTTTTTTTCTTGCTTTCTAAAGACTGTACAAAAACTAACGCCAGGTGCCATCAACATGTAAATTATACTAGTATAAGAAATAAATGAAACCTGTTTTTGATTACTACTGCTTTTGAATGCCTTGCAACTAGTGTGTGCTTGCACCTCTTCAAAAAAAAAGTTTAAATGTTACCTTGTTGCCTTGAACATTTTTTATCTTTGATTGTCGTTTCTGGGCCTCGACCCACAACAACTGTCTGTAAATGAGGCAGCCGAATGGGTTTGTGATTGCCCTCTTCGCTGATGAGCCAGCAAATAGGCATTTTATCATGATTTTGCAGAGCTAAATGCTAGCAGTTCACATTTGATGACTGGCAGAGTCGGCGCGCGAAAATGACGTCACGGTGCTACCGCATCGCGATAGGACAGGACACAGTCGGCTCGGAATCGGCACGGCACGCGTGTAAAGAAGGTTCTGGAAGAAAGATTCGCAGTGAGCTTGAACACTCTGAGAGGTCTAATCGTTGTCTTCATTTAAGGTTTGAAAATTATCGAAATTATATATGTATGGGTCTTTTGAAACCAAAACGGAGGTTTAAAAACAAATCGCGATTTAGCTTTCACCAGGTGTTGTGCCGAAAAATGTACCCCGGCGAAAGCGCCATCGTCATAAAAGCGGAGTTGTGTTATTATGTGAATTAAATGAGTCAAAGTCGAAAGTGACAAGTTCAGTCTTTTTTTGGTACCTCCAGGGAGAGTTGTCTGCCATTCCTGACCGAGATAAACATGGCTACGAATCTCACAAGCAGCTCCATCTATGAATTTGAGTTATGGTTATGGTTAGAGTTTTTACCTGTTAGCACCCTATATACATAATTTATATACATATATATTTGTACAATAATTGTGATCAAGTCAACTTTGTCTTCGAGTCGAATTAGTAGCGCAAACAGCTGTCTTCAACCGGGCTTCCTTTGACGGTGTACGTGTTTTAACACAACACCAGTTCAAGCAGCTACATTAGCTAGGCCCTGCTCTGTTTCAGTTTTGTGTTTTCGCAAACTAGACGCTGCTGTGCCGGTGTTTATTTTTCATTAGCAGGAAACCTAAAAGAAAATCTATGTCGATTGAAACACCTTAATATTTTCCCATCCCTTTGTTACCCCCCTGGTCAGCGATACTGACTGATCGAAAAACATCTGGCCGAGTGAAAGTAAACCTGAACACATAGTTTCACCTGTTTTAGTTTAGTTTTGTTTTTCCACGAAGTGAAACTTATGCTCTTTGTTGCGTTCAGCACATTTATCGTGGATAGCAAAAAGTCGCAGATGTGAAGTCACATTTAATCTTTTTCTTTACTTATTTGTTTTTTACTTGAACAGCTTGTTCCCAAGTATTTGCTATTGATTTCCCAAGATCTACACAGTGAAATCAACTCTTGACTGTAACAGAGTGAAGTATAATCATTACTCACTTGTTGCTTCAATACTTTTATAATATCAAATGTGAAGTGAGAAATATCCTCTCAGCCCTGTTATTGCACTTGTAGAGATTTATAATATTTAAAACTACTGGGGTCGGTTTTAGTAATTTTGTTTTTATTTGATTGCATGTCTGAGGTTTTTGATTGGGATTTTTTTTGTTTTGTTTTTACTCTTCAGATTAAAAATATATATATATTTGTTTGAGCTTTATGCTGCTGTGACACCTGGTATATCATACAATAAAGGGTATTGCTATTTTATTCTGTTATATTTATTGTTTCACGTAACATTGAAGAGCTTTGCATGCAATTAAATATCATCAATAATCTCATTGTTGGATAATTTTGCATCCACAGACTCAAAATTACCGGTAGTTTTTATGATTTTAATTTTATAAGTTTTTTTCTTTAGAAATCAATTCTGATATTGACTCTTGTCTTTTGTTTGTTTATTTAATTTCCCAGCGTTTTCTTTTACAGTCAACATGGTCAAGGAAACCGGTTTTTATGACACGCTTGGCGTTAAACCTACTGCGACTCCTGAAGAGCTGAAAAAGGCATATCGCAAGCTAGCCTTAAAATATCACCCTGACAAAAATCCTGCTGAGGGAGAAAAGGTATGCCTTTTCATAAGAAACGATAACAGGACTGCCATAGGTGTGTTTTTAAACTTTTTTTCTCCTCTCCCTGAAGTTCAAACAGATCTCGCAGGCATATGAGGTGTTGTCAGATGCCAAGAAACGAGAGCTGTATGACCGTGGAGGTGAAAAGGCCATAAAGGAAGGAGGAACAGGCGGCGGCGGCGGTGGTGGCTTCGCTTCGCCTATGGATATCTTTGACCTATTTTTTGGTGGTGGCAGTCGAATGCACAGAGAGCGAAAAGGTAGGCCTGTAGTCAGAAAATAAGCAATGAATGTACTTTATAGGGCTGCACCGATTAGTTGAAATAATCGATGACGTTGATTATGTAAATTTGTCGACGCAGRTTTTTTATTATTGATTTGCTGTATTACATAACCACCATGTGAATGTTCATGCAATTCTATTTCGGTACCTAAATGCATCATTGCGACCGTATTGGCAGAAGAGTGGTGAGTTTTCCAAGCTTGTCCTGAACGCAGCATCGCACAAGAGCGTGATGACGTCAGCAGCCGCTGCTTCAGTTCAGTCTGAAGCTTGAAAACAAGCCTCGCAGCTCCTGGAGTAAAATTTACCGAACAGACCGCCTCTGAATTATCTGGTGGATTAATTATCTTGTGAACACGACATTCGCTTGCTCAAAGGAAATAAAGTACCGCCACTTTCTTTATTTCATCCACCATTAAACAGAGACCGGTGTTAGGTCGAGTCGAATTTCCAGTTTCCCCAGCGTCTCAAACAACAGAGGAGCTTCCCGACACACGTCTGACCTAAAGAGCACAAGCAGCCAACAAGTGTTGGACGTGTTCTGGATGTTCAAAACGTAGCTTAAATACCTTTTATTTATTTTTAACTGCATCCTCTTTTGTTTATTTGATTTAAACTTATTTGCCTTCCATGGACCTCCATCACACATTTTTCTAGTGGGGAAATGACATCAATAGAAACACGTGGAGCTGGATTTTAATTTGTGCAATAAGACAAAACAGTCTTGTTGTTTTCAACAGTTTTCACCTTAAAGAAATAAGTTACACAACTGATGTTACAATACAAAGAGTTGGATGTTGTCTTGATATTTGTTAATTTTTATAAATTGAGAAATATGTTAAATAAAAATAATAAATAAATGTTTATTATATGTTTATTATAGGTTTTCCAGAGAGTGACTTGAATTTTGCCTGATTCAGTTCATTTGTTTGTTAACATCTTGCACTATATTTCTTTTAGTTGAATTTTATATGCTTTGGTTGAGATTTTATGTTGATGTTAAATCTTTTAAGCTTTTTTTGTTAAAGAATTGACCCTAGAGTGCAAATTTTGTTTCCATGAAAAAACTGTTACAGAAAATATTACAATATTAAAGAACTGTTCTTGTTAATTTGATGAAAGCATTTTAAATTTCCAGTGCACTCACATCAGAATAACTTTTAGATTTGTTGTTAGAATAATCGATTAATCGAAAAAATAATCGTTAGATWAATCGATTAGAAAATAATCGTTTGGTACAGCACTAGTACTGTATGTCATGGCTGAATATCTGACATCAACGTTTGTTTCCTGAGTATTATAAATGTGTTTGGTAAACTGTATGTTTAGAGTCAGGTCCATTTAAAGTTTCAGTATTTGTTTTAAATGGGGACATTTTTAATTGGCCTCTGAAACCTCGGGCATCATTTTGACCCAAGGGCAGCTGGTCAGTTARCAAAATGGCGACAATGCTGATTTAAAAAAAAAAATGTATCCCCTCCTCGGACAGTTTCTTTGAGCATGCAATTTCAAAATGGCCTCCACTTGAGACCCCCTTGTTAGTCAACACCTTTAATTGGAAAGGAAGTAAAAATAAAGAAAAATTCTATAACACACCATCTTCTCACTTCACTAGCAGATTCTGAACTGCAGGATGGTGGGAAGGGTGGATGATGATTTTACAAACCTAATGTTTAGCATGCAGTGACTTATAAAAACTCAGATTGCAAATTTAGGGATTTGAAAAGAGTTTTTAAGTTTTTACAGTTTTTTTTTTTCAAGCCAGTATTAAAACAGTTTTCTTTTTGTCAGAGTATTGCTGCGTTCACACCAAACGTTTTTTGAGCATGCATGCGTAACGTGCGTCGAACGCTGGAGTTGGAAAATCTGAACTTTTGCAGCTCAACGAGGCGCGTCAACCTATCAGAGAGACTCCACTGTGTAATTTTTTCCTGAATGATGTCCACTAACCTGAGACAGATGGGCAGGAGHTCTTCAGCTGAAATCGAGTGSCTGCAGTCGGTGTCCTCCCGGCAGAAGATAGCWCCGATGCGGGTCAGCGRCTCATCAAACTGAGCTCGGGACAAAAATAAGCCGCAGCTTCTGGGTRGTGAAACTCACCAAACCCAGAACTCCTCTGAATTATCTGGTGAAGGAATGATCTGATGAGCGCGACATGCTATTGCTCTCAGTAAATAAAGCAAAGCCACTTTCTTTATTTCATCCGCCATTAAACAGACTGGCAGAGGAGGCTCTTGACGTGCGTCAAAAGCAACTTTGACGAATCTCTGACCTCAAAGTGAACAAGCGTCTAACTTGAGGCGTTGGATGCGCTTTTGGTGCTCAAATTGCGTTCGGTGTGAACACAGCATCACCTTAAATGTTATAAAATCTGAATTGCGTGTATATTAAAAGAAAAAAGCTGTACAGATTTTAACATCAATAAACAAAAACAGTGCCATCAAAGTGTTTCTTTATCCACATGAGCTTAGCAGTAACATAATTTTTGTGACACAATTGAGTCAATTCTTTGTGGACATTCTAGTTGTTGTAAAGACTGAGTTTATTCTTTGAAACTGGAAACTTCACCTTCCCTGCACTCAGAGTTGTGTTTATACACACCGGGGAGGCTGTCACTGCTGGCCATGTTCAGTCAGATTCTGATCTTGGATTGCATTTTATTACAAGTTTTTCTAAACTTTAACACAGAGTTGTTTTCTGTTTTTTATACAATATGGCACACAGTATTCTTGTTGACATAGACGGCAGATTTGTTCAAGTGTTTTTACTAAAGTAAAACACAGATTGATAGAAGTTTAATTGTTCTGATTTGATGTGATGCACATCTGTTTCCACTAGAGGTCAGATGTGATTCACCGCTGGCAGAAATGCAGACAAAGATGTTTGCTGTCTGTGATGCATTCAAAGTGGAGTTGCGGAACAATTTCCATTGATTGTCATTCCATTCAATACAATTTGCCTTAAGTATTTATTTAATATATTTTTAATAGACTACTTATTTGTGGTGCTGTCATGATTATGTGTTGAGAGCCAGGAGCATCCTCTTATGAGAATCGCTCTCCAGAACATTTGTTTTTGATAAAAATGTTATCGAAACTAAATGATGGGAAAGGTCAAATAAAGCAAGCAACAGTTAGAGAAAAAAAACATAAATGTGAAATAAATTTAAAGAAGTTATTTGGAGAAACATCACTGTAGATCAGTGTTTTTCAACCCTGGTCCTCAAGGTACACTGCCCTGCTTTTTTAAAAAGTTTTCCTGCTTCAACACAGCTGATTTCAATTGACTACTGATTAACAAGTTTTTGTTGAACTGCAGTCATCTGAACAGCCTGTGATATACCTGACAGTGCTGCTTTTTGTTTCATCACAGGAAAGAATATTGTTCATCAGATCACAGTGACTTTGGAGGATCTTTACAATGGAGCCACAAGAAAACTTTCTGTCCAGAAGAACTGTATTTGTGAGAAATGTGAAGGTAGGTTTTGTTTTTGTTGTTTTACAAAGTGTCCTGGAAAATATACCTCTCTGCTGATTATTAAGTTCGCATTGTCTTGATATTTCAATTAGTATCTTTTTGATAACTGCTACGATTTGTCATTATCTGTCGTCGACGCCACTGCTGTCTGGTTGATGTCCTTCCTCGTGTAATCTGTAAGACTTGTCGCTTCCTCATTGGTTGTTCACTGCTCCGCCTGTTTGTATAAGTTATTTCCTTTCACACGGCGGCTGAAACGTGAAGCACGGGGAGAAAGAAGCATTAGCAGCAGATTTAACCGACACAACCCCAGAGAACGGCTGATATAACCATGACCGCGCCAGTGATTGAGGTGGCAGACGAGGCTGGCCCAGCACCGGTTTTGTGGCCTTGGCCTATGGACGACATGAAAACATATGCACAACATCTGCCTGATGTTGAAAAGGGAGGTGAAAAATTCAGCACGGCTCTTCAGCTCTTCTGCATGGAAGCAATGCCCACATGGCCACAGCTGCGCACACTGATGGCTCTGCGTATGGGTCCCACTAACTTTAAGAAAGTCAAAGCCGACCTGGATGGTTATTATCGCCCCCTGCATCCTACCTTCACCCACGATGACAATGCTCCATATTCTGCTGCACTAACCAAGCTGKGTGACAGAATTAAAAAAGCATTCCCAAGGAGAATAAACTACACAATGATAGGAGCCTGCAAGCAAGAAAAAACCGAGAGGATTGAGGACTTTTATACAAGATTGCAGGCTGTGTTTAATGAATACTCGGGGCTTGATGAACCTACACCCCTGGGTGAGGAGATTGGAACCTGGGAGTCATGTCTAAGTTGGTTTTTCATGAGTGGACTGCTGCCAGACATCCTTGAGGCTGTTAAAACTTCCTGTGTGGATCTAAAGTACTGCCGCCTGAAAAAGATTCGCAAGCATGCTAACTATGCCCAAAAGAGACTGGAGGAGGAAAAAGAAGCTGAAGAAAAGGCCTTCGCTGAAGAACTGCGTCAAGCAGAGCTGGCAATGGCTCGAGCTGTAACCAAACAAGCTTCTTCCAAAAACAACAGGCAGCGTTTCCCTCGAGGCCGYGGTAACTGGAAACCCCAACAACCCTCCTACGGACCGTCCTCCCACGACTATTGTTTTGCCTGCGGATCACCGGAGCACTGGGTGAAGACATGTCCAAAGAGGTACATCCAGCACCCACAAGGACACGACAACCACAGCTGACTAGACCAGAGAGAGATTCCTCCAACGGCAGCCACTTTTTGTTTATTTGGTCTTTTCTAGTTTTGTAGTAAACCTGGGGACRGAGTTTTTCAGAACTCTGAGCTCAGCACAGCAAAGACTTAGATCAGGTAAAGGTTCCCGTTTTCCTGTTTGGGTTCATGGTTAGGTCCGGGGAGGCTGGAAAGTGAAATATTGCATATTTTGTCATTTCCTGACATCATTTATTCCTAACAGAAGGACAATTAGGTTAGAAGTTGTTAATAAGCTAGAAGTTCAAAAAAGAGGGGAGAACTATTTTAGATTTGGTAGTAATTTTTATTTAATTAATTTTATTTAATTA